ATAACATAGTCTATCATGAGGACTCTCCTCTCCTTCCCGGATAACATAGTCTATCGTCAAGACCCTCCCTCTGTTCTCTGGAGGCCTCTGAACACGCTTGGTCACGAGTCTATCGTCAGGACCCTCCCTCTGTTCTCTGGAGGCCTCTGAACACGCTTACTCATGAGGACTCTGCTCTCCTTCCCTAATAACATAGTCTGACGATGAGGACCCTTTGTTCTCTCCTTCCCGAACGACATAGTCTATCATGAGGACTCTCCTCTCCTTCTATCGTCAGGACCCTCATTCTCTATGAGGACTCTCCTCTCCTTCCCGAATAACATAGTCTATCGTCAGGACCCTCGTTCTCTGGAGGCCTTCGAACACGCTTAGTCACGAGGACTCTCCTCTCCTTCCCTAATAACATAGTCTATCGTCAGGACCCTCCCTCTGTTCTCTGGAGGCCTGTGAACACGCTTAGTCTATCGTGAGGCCCCTCAAGTTCATCCTGAGGACTTTCACTCGTAACATGCCCTCCCGTACATGCCTGAAAGGCCCGCACGATAAGCGGCGCAACTTGGTTGTACTGGTGGTTTAAAACCACCGGTACACTGAGGCCGGGAGGCGCTGCACTGCACGCCACGATTTCTGGAACCCACACGGCGCCACTTTTTTTTTTCTTTATCGCCAAGTTCTGCCAGCCGGCAAGTTCTACCAGCCATTGTGGTCCGGTAGCCCCAAGCAGCAAAAATTTCGGAGATGTCCGGGCCCCCTTCCCGCCGCCCCCCMTCCCCTCTCCATGGTGAAGTCCCAAACTGACCAAGACTACMCCCCCCCCCCCCCACATGCCCCCCAGGGGGGAACATCAGCCAGCACTTCAAACCGCACGATAAGCGGCACAACTTGGTTGTACTGGTGATTTAAAACCACCGGTACACTGCGGCCGTGGGAGGCGCTGCAGTGGCTGCACTGCACGCCACGATTTCTGGAACACCCACAGCGCCACTTTTTTTTTCTTTATCGGCAAGTTCTGCCAGCCATTGTGGTCCGGTACCCCGAGCCGCAAAAATTTTGGAGATGTCCCGGACCCCTTCCCGCCGCCCCCCATCCCCTCTCCCAGGTGAAGTCCCAAACTGACCAAGACTACGAGACCTTCCCCCCCCCCCCCCCCCTCTGCCCCCTGGGGGGGAACATCGGCCAGCACTTCAAAAAGGCCACACACAGTGAAGGACCATCAAAGGCTTGGAACTCGGCGAGCAAGCATGCTTGCTCACCTAAGCCACGGTCCGGCGCCCAGTAGCAGGGTGAAGAGGTTCAAGTGTCAAGGATCAGAGATCCATAGAGTCTCAGTATGACGACGGGCAGTGGCCCTGACATCCAGACACATTCTGAAACTACTGTCATTCATCATGTATCATGGACACCGGACCCGGTTTCGGGCAGGCGGCGGTCTCCACCAATAGACTGGAGCATCTGGGGGTGGTATGTCATAGAATTTGTGTGGGGCATGAAACTTTCGTTCCCCGTTTGACTAGGAGGCCAGACGCCGCTTGTAGCATTTCAGTGCACGGGCATGAACCCCGTTCGGCGTTTCAATTTCAATGAGCAGGCATGACCCTGTTCGCATTTCTGGCCAAGTTCGTAATATCCTCCACAGCGGAGAATCTGCCACTCGTCAAATTTCAGCGAACGGGCGCGGACCAGTTTGCCTTTCAATTTCAATGAACAGGCATGAACCGGGGCTAGGTCCCACTTGCACGAATTAAGAGATACTGGCCGTAGATAGCAAAGATCAACGGCCGAAATCTCCCAATCCGTGCAAGTGGGACCTTTGCCCCAGTTCCCATTTCAATTTCAGTGAGAACCGGTTCCCATTTCAATTTCCTTTTTTTTTTTTCTTTTTTTTTTTTTTTTGGCCCGGCCGGGCAAGTGGTCCCACGCCACTCTGGTAGCCTAGCTCCACAGAGAATTTAGCGGCGACGACAAACTCGTCTCCACTGCCGCAACGAACTTGTTTCTGGTAAATGATGTCCTCATGAGATCACTCAGGTGTAACTACCCATTGGATTTTATTTTATTTTTTTCATGTCATTGGATGTCCTTTCCATTCATGCATCTTAGTTTGCACGTGAGAAAAAGGCCTCATAGAAGATGAAACCCCAGTTATGGCGTTTCAACGAACAGGCATGAACCCCTTCGCAATATTTTCCACAAAAGCTTTTTTTTTAAAGCCCCAACTACAACTCTTTTCCACTGCAGCAACAAAGATCACTCAGGTCATACTCGCCACTAGATTTCCTTCCTGCTCGCACGTGAGAAAAACAGGCCTTAGGAGATGAGACCCCACTTAACCCCACTTATGGCATTTACACGAACGGGCACAAACCTGTTCGCATATCTTTTTTCTACCCCACTTAAACCCACTTATGGCATTTACACGAATGGGCACAAACCTGTTCGCATATCTTTTCTTTTTTCTTTTTTGTTTTCCTTTTTTTTTGTTTTTTGAAACATCGCCCTTAGCCAAGCTGGAGGGTGTACTCAACATTGGGCCTTCTTCAGGGAATCCAGATTCAGTGCAACAAATCCCAAAGTAGACGTTTTTTTTTTTTTTTTTCCTTCTTTGATATCCCGAAGTGGATGTAGGTAGTACAGCAACATACTGCTAAACCGCAAATGATGTCAGCGTAAGGCCACTCAGGGTGTACTGATCGTTGGACATCCTTCGATGTATCTGACAGCAAGTGCGGCCAGATTCAGCGCAGAAAACCCTGAAGCAGGTGTAGCTGCAGCGACAAACTCCTTTCCGGCGAAAGATGCCAGGAGATCACTCAGGGGTAAACTCCACATTGGACTTTTCCTTCACCGTAACTGACGGCAAGCACGGCCAGATTCAGTGCAGAAAGCCCAAAATGCGAGTACCCGTATGTTGCTGGGTGGCTGCAGGTACGGTTATTGCCATTTCTGGCCTTTTTTTTTTTTTTTTTTCCGGCCATTTCTGGCTTTACCTGCGCTGAAGGGCCATTCTACACCTGCACTGATGCAGACCAGGGCCGAGGTCCCATTAGCAAAGAGGATCGGATCGAATGCCTGAATGTG